GGCTGGGGTGGGTACTGGCCACAACCTTTGGCAGAACCTCCTGCTCCTTTCCCAGGGCAAGCTCATGAGGAAGCAGAAATGGTGCTATTTCTGCAGCAAGTGGAATCTTCTGGAACTGGCCATCATCCTGGCCAGCTGGAGTGCCCTGGCGATGTTTGTGAAGAGGGCTGTCCTAGCGGAGCGTGACATCCATCACTACAGGGGCCACAGGGAGGAGTAAGTGCCTCTGCCTCAGCCTCAAGCCCCACCACCACTCACCCTCCTTTCTCCACCTCTGTCTTAGGCCCAGGAGCCAGAGAGCAGCTTTAGAAATCTTTTAATCCTCAGAGGACCAAGGGTCACTCCTAGTAAAAATACCTATAGCTGCCACTTAAATTCAGGTTTGGGGCCTGAAACTTACACAATTGGAGAGGACTCTTTAAGACAAAATATAAAAATATCTTACTTTTGCAAATCTTACCAAAATGTAGGATCTTATGGCACCCTGATAGGGTCCCTCCCTTTCCAAATATTAGCACCCTAGCAAACCCACCTTTACTACCAGTTACCAAGTGTCCACCGTGTGCCAAGAAGGATGCACTAACTCATTAAATCCTCACAAGAACCGACAGAGGTAGACAGTATCATTACTTCATTTTATAAATAAAGAAATTGAGGCTCAGAGAGGTGATGTAACTTACCTAAGACCATACAGTTAAAAAGTGGCAAGAAGTAATTTAAACCTAGGCTTGTGTGGCTCTTTACTCTGAATCTTTGTCTTTTTGACTCATTCATTTTAAAAAAAAAAAAAAAAAAACTCCTTGCCATCGAGTCAATTCCAACTCATAGCAACCCTATAGGACAGAGTAGAACTGCCCCATAGGGTTCCCAAGGCTTTAAATCTTTATGGAAGCGGACTGCCACATTTTACTGCTGCGGAGCAGCTGGTAGGTTCAAAACACTGGCCTTCTGGTTAGCAGCCAAGCACTTTAATCACTGTGCCACCAGGGCTCCTTCTTATAGACATAACCAACATTTATTTATTTATGGATGCCATACACTGTCATAATAATACTTTAAAAAGCATTGTTTCATCTACTTTAATCTTCCCCACCCCTCTAAACCAAAAGAACCAAACCTATTGCCATTGAGTCGATTCCGACTCATTGTTGTTATTGTTGTTAGGTGCAGTCGAGTCAGCTCAGACTCATAGCAACCCTGTGTGCAACAGAACGAAACACTGCCCGGTCCTATATCATCCTCACAATCATTGCTATACTTCAGCCCAGTGTTGCAGCCACTGTGTCAATCCATCTCATCAAAGGTCTTCCTCTTTTTTGATGACTCTCTATCAAGCATGATGTCCTTCTCCAAGGACTAACTCTCCTGATAACATGTCCAAAGTATGTGAGATGTAATCTTGCCCTCTTTGCTTCTAAGGAGCATTCTGGTTGTACTTCTTCCAAGGAAGATTTGTTCATTCTTTTGGCAGTCCATGGTATGTTCAATATTCTTCACCAACATTACAATTCAAAGGCATGGATTCTTCTTTGGTTTTCCTTACTTATTGTCTGGCTTTCACATGCATATGAGGCGACTGAAAACACCATGGCTTGGCACAA